AGTGGTGGGGGTGGAGGGAGCGCAACAAAGAGTTCCCGAAGGTTGCAATCCTGGAAGGAACTCTTATAAGAACAACTGCAGCAGCTAACCAAACCCTGAGGCAAGTGCTTTGCACTCATGACCTCTTTATTCTTTCGCATCTTTATGGCAGATACCATACTGTTGGTAGAAGGTAGACAGAAACGAGGAAATGTTATTGGAAGCAGAGGTAAGTGCCAAGTTACAGTCAGGAAACGTAAGTTCACAATTCACTGGTTCCTACGCCCCAATTCCCACAGGGCGACGGGAAGAGGACCAGGTGGCCTTGGCCAACACATCATCACTGCGGAGGACCCCTGGCCCTAGGGAACCTGGATGCTTTATAACGGACATTAAACACGCCTACCCCTCTGCTTCACACGGCACAGCTGGGGAAGAAAACAGGAACATGGGCGGTCAGACACAGGTAAGAGCCTATAACAGGTTGGTTTTCATTCTGTCCGAATTAAGAAGCATTTAAGTTTCTAAGTCAGGGAAGTGTGACACAATCCCATCTTCCCCTGGGGAAGTCTCCCTGCAGGAGAGTGGGGAGAAAGGAATGCTGGGGAAGGAAGGGAGGACTACAATAACGCAAGTGAGAACAGGTCACACCCTGGGCCGAGGCGGAGACCAGTGGTGGAAAGGAACACAAGATAGCGAGTATTATTGCTTGCAGTGCTGTTCAGAGTCGGGGATGTTAACCTACTTAGAAGCTAACGCCTCAGCCTAGCAGTTTCCCAGATGCGGGCAGGAGACATGGAACGCCTGGGTCAAGGACAAACGGGGGTTTTCGAACAAATCAAGAGCACTAGCCACGGTGCCAGCATTTGCGCCAGTTCCTCTGAGTAGCAGTTCCCGCAGGACATGGCAAAGAGGGCTCACCGTGAACTCCGCTACAACGGAGGACCCCTGAACTTATGGAACCCAAATTGCTTTTTCAGGGGCATGTACCTTCCAGGGCTTCTTACTATACAAGCGTCTTTGAAAAGACAGACCAGAACAAAGGCAGTCGGAACAAAGGCACACATAGACAGCAGGCCTTCCACGCACATGGACAGCAGGCAGGTGGCTTCTGGGGTCGCACACAGGCGCCTGGATGGCAGCTCGCGCTGGCAGCTCACGCTGGCGGCTCACACTGTCCCGCCTTGCCTGCAGTATGCAAATTAGCCACCATCTTTGTTGGCGGTTAATTTGCATATCGTGCTGATTAGCCAATGGGAGGCGTAGCGAAGGTACAGTCAATTACCATGTTTGTCTATTATTAGGTAGGATTGCTTGCAGAGGTATGCATTAAAATAACTTCCCATATAAAAATGATCTCTATTATCTGTACATTGAACTAGATAACACTTCACAATATAAAAGAAAGTAAAGAAACTGGAAATATTTGGTTGGCAGCACTTCATTTTGATAACAAATATACTGGTTTCAAGAGTCAATGGTAAATGCAGACAATTACTTACAAATGAGGGTTAATTATTTTGCACATGAGTGAGCAAGCTTCTTCATCCATTAGCATAAGCGAAGAAATGGATGACTTGGCTTCAAGGATGCAGTAACAGAGAATAGGCAACTGCAAGTCTTTTGGGCTCCTTGGGCCAGTGAAGAGGGAACCCTGCCCTGGTCGGGCGGCTCAGTTGGTTAGAGTATCGTCACATACACCAAAAGTTATGGGTTCGATTCCCTAGGTCAGGGCACAAACCTAGGTTGCAGATTCAATCCCAGGTAGAGGTGCGTACAGGATGTTTCTAACATCATTGTTTCCCTGTCTCTGTCTGTCTGTCTGTCTCTCTCTGCTCTCTTTCTAAAGATCATTACACATATCCTCGAGTGAGGATAAAAAATAAAAATATAAAAAGAGTGGGCCCTGGACTAGTTTCTTGGCCCAGTCTGCATGGTCCCCAGGCACTCGAGCAATCCTTGTCAGACTGAGAAACCATCTCCCTGGGCAAGGAGCTCCCGGCCCCAAACCTCACCACCCTCACCACCACCAGGCTCCTCCTCAAGAGGTGCAAGGCACAGGTGGTGCTAACAGCAGGTCTGAACCCATTCGACTTAAAAGATCGCCCATCTTACATGCCACTAAGTGAAACCTTTGGGTGACTGCCCAACGCACAGCAAGCGCCACACTGGACAACTCCCAGGAGCATCACGCTCGCCCGAGGGAGCTGTGCGGTCACAGCCTGCGCAGCTACACGCAGTGGTGCCCCTGGGGAGAGAGGGTCACTCCCTCAGATATTGACCCATTAAAACCCACTTCCTGATCAATGGTTTACTTAGGCCACGAATCGCTAGATTCCAGAAGCCATCATGGATCTAAATTGGTGGCTTTTTTAATAATTTTCACATATTATGAAACAGATTAAAAATATAATTTAGAATTAGGTTCTGACTAAATGCCAGTAAGATTCATGTTGGAAACTACGGGAGTGGGGTTTCAACATCTTATCGTCTATGTTCGAGCTCTGAGAGTCATCTCTCCACCTAGATGCTTCATGTCAAGCTTATGACCAGAGACATTGTTCTTTTGATGGGGAAGGATCGAACACCTTTGGAGGTAACAGGTAAACACACGTTCACAGGTATGTCACAAAGGAAAACACAGAAACCAAAAATACCATTCCGAACAAATGCTCTTCCTTGGCTTTGGTCGGTGCCACGGGTGTTAATTATGAATGCTTCTCTAAATGCCCAAACCAGCTTGGAGGTGATCTCAGTGTCATTTCCCAATAGGTTGGTTAACTGATTGCTTGAAAACAAATTCATTCTGCAAACGTCAAAATGCAAACAAATGCTCTGCCCTGGTCCAGCTGCAGCAGAGCCACGTTGTTTCTGAGGCGGCTCCTCCTGCCGCTCCTTAGCCCTGGCCCGCTGCCCCGGCCCGGGCTGCCCCACCCCTGTCTGTTCTTTCGGGCCAGATGTCTGGCGATCTCTGCATCTTGTCCCGTCAGTGCCCGCCAGGGCTGCCGAAGCTCCCAGCCTTCTGGGCTGTCTCCCCCGCCACCAGAACCCTGGAGGCTGTTGCCCTGCACTCTCCAAATCAGCCACTCACAGGTGTCCGCTGTACACCTCACCTCTGCCTCAGGATCCACACTTCCTGGTGCGAAGACGCCTCGGCTCCCTGGAGACATCCTGGCCAGTGGCACGGAGACAAGGTGCCTGAGAAGCCCTCATCAGGTCTCAGAGACCCAAGGAGCCTCCCACCATCGCCTTCTTAACCCCATGATTTGCAGGTTAGGCCCAGGTGATTATGTTCTACACAGGACACATCTGAACACACTTAACTGGCTGTGTACTCACTCACCTTTTACACGGTGCACCTGCGTCTGGCTTTGATTTGCCTTTACCCTACCTACAAGGTAATAAATTAGCCGGTTGCTACGGGCATACCTCGATATCTCGTGCTTCTCTTTACTGCGCATCACAGATGTTGCGTGTTTTAAAATTGAAGGCAAGGCGCTCCACCAGCAAAACGTTACGACTCGTTTAATCGCGAGACTCGCTTTACTGTGGTGGTGGTGGTGGTCTGGAACAAAACCCGTAATATCTCTGAGGTATGTCTGCATTCCCAGAAGCTGGCAGAAGACACACGACTCCTGGGTCAGAGGCAAAGGACTTTATTATACACGGCACAGCATGTTTGTGTCGGTCCTCCTGGCCCCCAGATTCTAATGGGGATGGTGCTAAGGGGCCCAGGTGGAAGCTGCACGTGCTGTTCTAAGTTCCCATCACAGCCGAGGAACCAGTGCTTAGGGAGCCTGCTGCTTTATCCTAAGCAGTGAGATTGCTCTTTGTCCCCAAGAGAGACATCACCTCATCCTTCAAGGTTGCTCGCTGCAAACATAACCCTAAGAAATGGCCCAGTAAAGAGCATTCTTGGCACACCTAGCAGGACATTAAAAAACACAAGAGACCTGTGCAGGAGTGTCTCCCCACAACCCGGGTGTATTCCTAAATGGAGACAACCACCCTTATGGGGTTCACAGTCCCAGCAACTGCTCCACAGGAATTCCCACTGCAGCCTTCGTGTCATGAATTGTAAAATGAGCAGCAAATGCCCCTCACAGGAAGGGTCCTTTGAAACACCCATAATTCAATCGTTCCGTCCAATGGCACAGTCTGGGGTCCCCCAAGCACATCTCCCCTCAATGCAGCCTTTGTATCTCCTCCTCCTTTGTTTTACCCCCTCTACCTTTGAAACTTATTTTTGTTTAAAAATGTACTTTTAAAAAAACTAATAAATGAATAGTGGACAGGATAGAAGCTGATCTCAATCTGGGCAAAACTGTAGTCCCAGAAATCTTCGTCAGTACAGTTAACGGAAGAGAAACCACTTGTGATCGGTCAGAAAACAGAAAACAATGAGGCAAAGTTCCCCTTGGCACATGCTCACACTCTGAAAGGCACTAACTTCAGAGAAGGAAGCAGCTTCCTTTCATTATAACGTCAATGACTTTCCAGACTTATACTTCTGACTTCCCATATAGTACTGAAAACCATTTAAGATGCCTGGTTGCTTAAAGTTCAATAGCCCACAAGCACCATTTGTAACAAACACTTGTAAGCATGTAAATATGAACTAAATTAGAAAATCTGTAATTATCGCAGAATAAATTACATATTAATAAGTTAACCATCATACGTGTGCATAACACATTTTTGCAGAGTGGCCCAAATGGATATTAATTTTGTTCCTAAGTGAAGAAAATTATTTTAGATTCGACTAACTTACAGTATTTCAATAATGATTGGATATCTACTCTACTTTAGGCATTTTCCCAGCCATCTTCATATTATTTTGGTTGGAACTGTAATGCTCTCCATATACAACCATTTAAAAAACAAAACCCAGAAATGACCCTCAAGGCAAGACATGAGACATGCTGACATTTGTGATATGGAAGCCGAGGGCTGGTCAGGTCAGCCGGGGTGGGCCTGGGGGACAGCTGCAGCTAAACATGAGAGGAAGTTAAGGTCCAAAAGAGAGGGGAATCGAGCAGCTGCCCTGGCTAGGAATTTCTCAGACATCCAGTTGCCAGAGGAAGGCATGGAGATACCATCTCCGCCAGTGAGTGAAGGAGAACAGGAAACCGACAGAGCCTTGCATGAGTGGCAAGTTCTATGATACAGACTGCACTTCCCTGACATGGGAAGTTGAGGTTCCTGGACACTGGCAACACCTTTCCTGGGTGATAATGAACCCAACGCCTGCATCTGTGCTGTGGTATCTACTCCGCCCTGGATTACAAGGTCAGCATTCACTGAGCACTCACCCTCTCAGAGCTGCGCGTGTGTCGTCTCGTTGAGTCTCTACAATTTTCCTAGAGGCAGGCTCTACTGTTACCCATTTTTTGCCCGAAAGGAACAGTGCAGCGTGATGAAGTAACTGTTCATAGTTACACAGCTTAGAAGTATCAAGGCCAATATCGGACCCTAAGTAGTCTCTTAATCACCATCTTTTATGTTGCAATAGTCCAGTGATGGCGAACCTTTTGAGCTCGGCGTGTCAGCATTTTGAAAAACCCTAACTTAACTCTGGTGCCGTGTCACATACAGAAATTTTTTGATATTTGCAACCATAGTAAAACAAAGACTTATATTTTTGATGTTTATTTTATATATTTAAATGCCATTTAACAAAGAAAAATCAACCAAAAAAATGAGTTCGCGTGCCACCTCTGACACGCGTGTCATAGGTTCGCCATCACTGCAATAGTCAATGCCTAGCTTTGGGGGTGGGGGCAGGAAAGGTTAGAAATAAAGAACAACCCCCTCCTTTTTTTAAATATTACCTCGTACTATCTGGAGCTCATCAGTGCATAACAAACAACAAAATTAATTCCATGAGTGTATGCATTCAGTAATAAAAGAAACCAAATAGGACATATGTGAATTCATAGATTAAGTTCATCACCACAGAATCTTCAAACATCTAATAGCTCGGATAAGTGAAATACGAACAATATTAGAGATGACAAAGAATTTCAAATAATACCTATGCCATCAAGTTTAATCTATTCAATATGCAAAACTTTATGCACAAATTAATTGGAAGCCTTTGCGTTTCTGCTAACTTGAAAGCCACATGTGGGATCCATATGAAGCAGTTTTCTGAGACTGCTCATTCCAAAGCACAAGAGTAATACATAATAAATAACCTGAATACTTACTCAACATAAGCAAGGTTGATGTTAATCAAAATGACTGCGCCAAAACTGCTTCGTAGAACTACATGGCGTCAAAGTGCTGGGACCTGGAAACTTGGGCAACTGGCGTGCACACAGCCTTCAGACGCACAGGCCAAACGCCGACTTCATCCTAGTTCAATGCATAAATGGTGAACAGATGCCTTCTCTCCCGTTGTCCCCGCTACACACTCTCCCCGTGCAGCGAGCCCGAGAATGGCTGAGCCCACTGAGACGCTAAGCTCCCAGCATAGCAGCTGTTCCCTGCTTTATAAATTGGGAGCTTTGCTTAGAATTTTGCTTGGGGGTGGGGTGGGGGAAGATTGGAGAAGGAGGAAGATTAGGGAAGAGAGGTAAAAACTAGAAGGCTAAGTGATTTTTAAGGTCCCTTTCAACACATAAATTCTAAGATTATATAATCAGACCGCAAAAGACCAATTAAAAGGTAATTCCAATACGTGGGCACTAAAATGACCCACAAGAACTCTGAATTACGTATTTGCATTTCTGTTCAAAGTAATCATATATCATATATCCTTCATGAGCTGGTTAACCTTTTAAAGAGTGAGAAGGAGATTTAGCTTTCCTAAAAGCAAAGAACCCTGTCTTCTAAATTTGGAATTGAAATCACAGACAGAAGGGAGAAGAAAAGGGGGAAACTCAATAGAAAGAACACTTGAAATTTAAAAACTGCACTTGGGAGGTTCTTAACAATAATTAATGATCTGTTAGTGCCTCCAGCTAAAATGTAGTAATTTCATACTTCAAAGAGTTTATTTCCTAATCTTCATCTAGGAACAAAAAAATACAATAATAGTCTTTCTTCCTGCTATGTCTTCTTAGATACTAAAAGTGATCTCCGGTTTTTATTTTTAACTTAAAAGAAAATTTCATTTAGTTTGCATATTTATAGTATGTACTGTGATAATGAAATTTCAGTCTTTTATGCAAATGAAATTGTTCTGAGGTGATATGGTAGCTTTTCTTTTCCCAAAGAGAACACATATGTTCTTAACAATAACAAAAATCCAAAGATATAGACCAATACATAATATACATGAAGGATATATGATATTAATGTATACCCTTGGATTTTAAAATATATATTATCTAAATGAAGCATGTGTTTCACAAAATAGAAAAGATATTTCAATCTTTTAGTGACCCCAATCCTTTCATTTCTAAAATATTCTGCATTTTTTAAAACAATAAGTAATACACTATTTTTGCAGCTTTTATACAATAGTGTTAAATCCTCACTGGAGAGCAACTTTAAAACTCTCAAAGCATACAGTAAAATATTAGGCATTATTAAATCTTGCAGACTCAGGAAAAAATGAAAATGCCACATATAACTCCATCATCTAGCCATCTCTTCATTCAATTTATTCTTCCAAAAACCAATAGATGAAGATGAAAGAAGTGGTATCAAAGAAACACTATTTTCCTTAGGATTCCAGTTATAAGATTAAAAAAAAAAATACGAGAATTGGGGATGGGGGCAGGCAGAGATTAAACAAAAAAATTATATGCATATATGCATAACCCATGGACACAGACAATAGTGTGGTGAAGGCCTGGGGAGGGTGGAAGGGGTCAATGGGGGGAAAGAGGGGACATCTGTAATACTTTCAACAATAAAGATAAATTTTAAAACTAAATAAATAAAAGAATAACATAAAAGAAGTAAATACATAAATCAATATCTTAGGTAGCATTTCTCCCATGAGTTGCCATGCGGATACCAACAATAAACCAGGAGTTCAGAAAGTTCCCAACTACATTTTTCTGTGTACCGTAAGGTCATGTTGAGAAACATTTAGAGATAGGAGGCAGGTTTTTTGAGTTTTTGTTTCCTAGTTACTTAAAACACTATAACTCTCCTTTTCGAGTACAGGGTTTCTCTCAAATGCCTAAAGCAGATTTATTGATTTTGTTTTTTGTTTTTGGTTGTGTGAAATTGATGTTTATTCACAAGGTATTTGTGCTGTATGTTGAAAACACTTACTCTACTAGTAAATGCTATCTGGAAGGGGGAAATGCCAGTAAAGTCAGAAAAAAAACGCTGAAAAGGTAGTGATGGCAAAGCACATTTTTCCTTTACAAACTTACGTAACTGAGGTTTGCTAAATTCAAATCCTTGTAAGTGAACTGAATCTTTAAAATGTTTTCTTTTTGGTTGTTTTTTCTGGGGCATTTGTTCATGGCTCTTAGAGCATTTGACTACTAACTTCAGAAATGGTTCTTTAAGCCAGAAGTCTTCTGAAGTATCATCATCATAATTTATATTTAATGAATGCATACTGCATGCCATGCACTGTACTACACATATTATCTTTTCTCTTTTTTTTTAATCCTCACCCAAGGATATTTTTTCTTATTTATATTAATTTTAGAGAAGGAGGAAGGGAGAGGGAGGGAGGGATGAAGGGAGGGAGGGAGAGAGAGAGAGAGAAATATCGATGTGAGAAAGACTCACTGAATCCACAAACTAGGCATGTGCCCTGACCGGGAATCAAACCTGAGACCACCCAGTGCACAGATGCTCCAATTAAGTGAGCCACACGGGCCAGGGTGATTTCCTAAGTATTTAAGGTTGACTTCCTGTTAGCCTGAGATATAATTTTCCGAAGTATTTTCCTTTTTATACCTAAGATGCAGCTAACTACTCACTGGCCTGGGATTAGCAACGTTTCAGAAATGGGGGATGCCCTTCGTTTTTCCTGACAGGAAGCAGAACCTGGAGGAGGCAAAAATTTCAACACGTCCCCCAAGCACTTTACCTCTAGAGACATCTCACTAATAGGTTTCAGCTTATAAATGCATGTCTCCCTGCGAATTACTTAAAAGCAGTGTTTCCCAAAGTGTGGTTCCCCGGCGACCTGGGAGCCAGAGGAGACAATTTTAGAATATAGCATTAAATAACTTTGAATAAGAAAGTCATGTCCGGTTCTCTCTTTTAATCCTCTGTTCTAGTCAGGGACGAAGTCTCCATTAACAAACGCTGCGCCCTTGTTAATCTCCATGGTAACAAAGGAAAATCTGCCTGGCACCAATAGCTACCTAGAAGGTAATAAGCCATATTATTGTTATTGTGTGCATTAGAACAGTAATATTTTTCAAGTTTCCTTTTAAAAGAAAGGTATTTAAGCTTTAAAAATGAAGTCAATTTAAAAGAAAATAAGTTTGAAGTGATCTAGATCCTTGCAACTCAAAATGAGATCAGTGGACCAGCAGCTACTGGTGGGGAGCTTATTAAAGGTGCCCGATCTGTGGCCTCTCTCACACCTACTGAATCAGAATCTCTGTCTTCAACAAGATCTGAAGAACTGTGGGGTGGCACAAGAGTCTGTCCCAAACCATGCGGGCAGTTGGCAAATGACTGAGCTCTGAGATGCCTCACTGCTTCAGATCATCAGGTGGCTATCCTCCAGACACTCTCCAAAATCAGGTTGAGGAGGTTAGGACAAAAAGGAAACTTGAGTGCTTTCTCAATGGGCAGTTGCAAACAATCAATGGATTGTGAGATCAATGAGTGAATCTAAACCGGCATGTTGGGGGTTTAAGTGATGGATAAGCTAAAATTACTTTAGATACATTCCTAAAATATCCTGTCATGGCACATATATCATTCGTTTTACCAACAAATACTATAGTGAGATTCTACTCAGCCCTCCCCTTCATCCTTCCACCTTCTAGGGCTGGGGTTTTCTGCACACTTTCTGCATGAGAATGAGTGACAAGGCTCCTTGCACCAACTCAGTTAACATGCCCTGGCTTTTTCTCCCAGAGCTGAGTGCAGTGAGAGAGATTATGCTCAGAAATAGGACAACCTGGGTCTCCTGCGTCAGGTGGCAGTAGTGGAGGCAAAGGAGCACAGCGCTCAGAGCATCTCATCAATGCCCCGGGGAGAATCCAGGCAGCCACTCATTTACCAAGGTGGGCGACTCACTCAGTCAATGATCCAGGTAGGTCAGCCAAAATCCTGGCTGTGCATCAACGAGAAGGACACACAGTCACTGACTTGATGAAACCCTTTGAAACCTAAGGAATTTCAAATACACAGAGTAAAGCAATGACCAAAATACATAGGACTTATGAGATCATAGAAGCTAAAAATATATAGTTACAGCCATCTAGATATTTCCAGAATATCCAGGTTTAACAAATGTTAATAAAATGTTTCCCAGTACAAAACATTAATATGAAACAGTTTGGCTTTGCAAAAAAAAAAGTGAAGAAGAGTGTATCGAACTGGGTAAAGAAAAATGGGAAAATTAACAACAAACAATAGATGCAAACTCAGAGACTGGTGTCCATGATAAGAATCACATGCCATTCATTTCGATGAAAAGAACATTGTGAACATATGTTAGATCTTTTTCCCTTTAGTTACCTTGAGAATGTACTTATGTAAGCAGAACATTACAGAGAACAAATAATATATGTTACAATGTAAGATTATTTTAATGGTTCTGAAAAAAAAAAGAAATTACGGGTGTTGAGGAAAATCTATATATATAAAAGGCTAATAAGCAAAGTGTCCCCTCAGGAGTTCGATTGTTCCCTATGACATGCGCTGCCCACCGGGGGTGGCGAGGAACGAAGGAAGGCCCCAGCTGGCAGCCAGCAGCTGGGGAAGGGAGGCCCCAGCCAGCAGCTGGAAGGCCCCGATCTGCCCTGATCACCGGCCAGGCCCAGGGACCCTACCCGTGCACGAATTTCGTGCACTGGGCTCATAGTAGAATAATAATTGCTAATACCTCTTGCAGAATCTAAGCACTTTACACATATTAACTCCCCTAATCCTCATGACTCTGAGATAGTTGTTAGGTCTTAATACTACTATTAATAACATTAATTAACCCTATAGCTAAGAATGCCACTTTGCAGATGAAGAAGAGACAAATGGCAGGGTGAGTAACCTTGTCTAAGCCTGGGGCAGGAGCTGGGTAAAAATTCAGACATACTCAAAGTCCAAACTCCTTCCCACCAGACTCTTCTGCCTGCCTACATGTCCCAGGAGCACTAGGAAGCCCATGTCAGGATGAACCTTTTCTCACTCTCTAATACTGTACTTTATAAAGAACTAGAGGCCTGGTGCACAAAATTCATGCATGGCGGGGGGAGGTCCCTCAGCCCAGTCTGCCCCCTCTCACAGTCTGGGAGCCTTCAGGGGATGTCCTACTGACGGCTTAGGCCCGCTCCCCACAGCCGCAGTCTGGCCTTCCTCTGCGGGAGGCGACCGGGCTGATCAGGGGAAGGCATCACCCCCATCACCCCACTGCTGCTGCCACTGCCGGCCACCACAGCTGCCAAGGTGTTTTCATCAACACTGACTCCAGTCCCTTCACCATGGAAAAATGACAACTTTCTTTAGGCATTTTCAAGATGTCTCTTCACAGGATATGACATTTCTTTCTTTCTTTTTATCTTCACCTGAGGATATTTTTCCATTGATTTTTAGAGAGTGTGGAAGAGAGAGGGAAAGACAGAGAGAAACATCAATGTGAGAGGGACACTTCGATTGGTTGCCTCCTGCATGAGCCCCGACCTGGGCCCTGGCCAGGGAGGAGCCTGCAACCTAGGTACATGCCCTTGATCAGAATCGAACCCGGACCCTGTGGTCCATAGACCGAGGCTCTATCCACTGAGCCAAACCAGCTAGGGCAGGATATGACATTTCGTAGCCCTTCCAGCAGCGGACCTTTGTTTTTTCCTCCAAGAGTGAGGTGGAAAAACCCTAGACCTTCTTGGATTCTTATTACCCAAGTTACCAAGAACACTGCGAGTGGCATACAGGGAGCTTAGTCAAAGAGTGATCAGAAAAGGTGTTTCCTCTGCAGCTCACGCACAGAGGCAGGCCTGCTGGTGCGCTGCAGTGTGTCCACTCCGGGCCTGCTCCAGCCACGCCGTGATGGCTTGGGCAGACCCCCCCCCCGCCCCCCCCCGTCTCTGGGCCTGCACCATCTGTGGCTTGCCTCACCATGCATGCATTCCCCTCCCGCTCATCTGCGCGTGCAGCCTCCTCCTGAGCCGGTCGTGACTGTTATGGTGTCCCGGCTAATTTGCATATTACCTCTTTTTATATATATATATTTCCCCACCCTCACCAATTTGGCTTAATGGATAGAGCATCAGTCTGCGGACCAAAGGGTCCCAAGTTCGATTCCGGTCAAGGCACGTACCTTGGTTGCAGGCTCCGCCCCAGCCCGGGCCCTGGTCAGGAGGCAACCAATAGATGTGTTTTTCTCTGTCTTTCACTCTCTCTAAAAGATCAAAGGAAACATATCTTCAGGTGAGGATTAATAACAACAACAACAACAAAAAGAATTTTCCCAAAAGCCCAATGACTGTGGAGTCTTCAACAGTTAAGAGGCTGGGCCATACTGATCCAACTATATCTTAAGACAGGAAAACAAATTTTTGGTATTAAATGCTTCAACCGTGATCAGAACTACAGTACTGACTTGGCAGAATAGAGTTTTAAGGCTGCTTCAGGGGAAATATTAACAGTTGGGGGAAATTTTTGTTGGAAGCAAAACAGTATACTTTGAGAAATGCTTAAGTCAGGTATCCCTTTTATTGGGACTACTTAATTAAGTACGAAACATTAAAATAGCTGGCCTGAATATTTATTAGAGCACCAGCTGTTCCCTCCAGATTTTTAGAAATTTGAGCCTTCATGCCAAGTATTATTTAGAAAAAATTTTCAACAAGTCAGAAGAGCCCTATGCCTTGTAATACTCATCCAACTTGAAAATAGTAGCTGGAAGGCTCTGGATTATCACTGTGTATTTTCAGTGATGTTTTGTCACCCATTTCCAAATACTACTTTGTTATTGTGGTTGGTAAGTACATTACTGAAAAAATTATACACTGCATTTCACAATTAATGATCCTTCATGTACATACAGATAACATCAGAGTGCTAACCACAGGGTTCGTATGCCATTTGGGGTTTATTTGTGTGTGTGTTTCATAGTGATGATGACTCTGCGCCCAGTAAAACATCTCAGAGAGATCATTTCGATTTTTATTCAAAATTGTATTTCTTTTAGGAGCCCAGCCATAATCAAATACCTAATTTATTTTTTAAGGGGGTAAGGGAAAGGAAGACCTCAAGAAAATAGTAGGAAAATTCACTGTTCATATTCTGAATATTCTATATTGAAACTTTTCTTGCTAAAGAAAACTGACAAATAGCAGGGCTGGGTCTCCTGTATTTGCTTTACTATCCGCTCTCAGTGCTAGTGCTGCAAAATTATATATGAGGAGCCCTAGACAGTGTACCTCAGTGGATAGAGCATCGGCCTGCAGACTCAAGGGTCCCAGCGTGCGAGAGGCAACCAGTTGATGTGTCTCTCTCACATCGATGTTTCTCTCTGTGTGTCTCTCCCTCTCCCTTCCACTCTCTCTAAAAATCACTGAAAAAATATCCTCAGGTGAGAATTAAAAAATAAAGTAAATTATATATGAGGGAAGGAACATCCCTACTGCGGCATTAGCGCACAGTGCACTCAGTGAAACTGCAGTGGAGATGCAGAAAGCAATTCCCGTTCTCCCAAAACGAGGGTCCTGGAAGCCCCGAACATCCCTACTGCGGCATTAGCGCACAGTGCACTCAATGAAACTGCAGTGGAGATGCAGAAAGCAATTCCAGTTCTCCCAGCCCCAAAACGAGGGTCCTGGAAGCCCCGGGGGAAAAGCAGGCTACGAAGCGAGCACCTTGGACACGGAGGCTGGTTTTGGATGGAAGAGCAGCTGGCTGTGTGGCGCTTAGGCCCAGTCCACGGCGCTGATGTGTGCAGGACCGGCAAGTCCAAAAGGACAAAGTGCCTGCTGCTTCCTTGCTCCTGTGGGGTAATAAGTAGCTCCTATCCCTCCGTGATGCTAATTGTCCGGGTACTAAACGCAGTTCAGGTGGTTCTCTTCAGCAGCGACGTTCTCATTTTGTTTCTAGGTTTGCTTTCAGATTTAAAAATAAACTGGCATTTTTGGATTAATAAAAAATTCCATGCGGGATAAAGTGGGCCACATTACTTTTTTTCTCATAAACAAAGAACATGAGCCTCAGGAGCTGGTGAAATCAGCCACCCTTGGGTCAGAACTCTGCACCACCCCCTCCCAGCTCCCCCACGCGAAGGGTCCCCTTGGAGAGCAATGGGAAGAGGTGCCACAGCCTGCCAGGAAAAACAAGCCAGACTTCTCCACCTCTGCTAGCCAAGCATCAGAATCGCCTGCGGGGATTTAACAAACAAAAACCAGGAATACCAGGGCCCTATCCTGACCTACTGAATCAGATCCCCTGCTAGGAATACTGAAGTGTCCCGACTAACAACTTATTTCGTATGCTGCTATATCTCTAAAGGGGTGAAATATCAACTAATCCTAAGGAAGTCACCCTTAGTCAGTGGGAGGGACTTGCTATGCATAAAGGGATGCATGCAAAGGAGAAAAT